GATGTTGGGTACCTTCTGATCAAAAGAATTGCGGAACAGTTCAAGATAGGTTGCAAGCAAAACGATAAGCACCAATTAGTGCCGCTTGTGAAGCTCTTGGCCCATTTAGTCAACCAAGGAGTTGTACATGAATTGCTGGCAGTTGAGTTTCTGTTTGTTCTTTTACAAGACGCTACAGAGGATAATATAGAAGTTGCTGCTATCTTGGTTCGACAGTGCGGTTCTACAATCCTTGAATCCAATCCAAGAGGGCTCGCTGCTGTTTTCGAGAGGTTCAGAGAAATACTTCAGGATGGGGATACGGATAAGCGTGCTGAATCCTTAATTGAGAGCTTGTTTGCTATCAGAAGTTCCAGGTTTTCTAGTTACCCTGCCATGCGCCCTGAGCTGGATATTGCTGAATCGGCTGATCAAGTCATCCATGAAATCTCTCTTTGCAATGACTTGGATCCAGAGATGTACCTTGACGTGTTTCACCTTGATCCTCAGGTTCTGATGAGCGATGAAGAGAGGTATAAAATGCTCAAAGCAATTGTGCTTGGAGAAGAGGACTATGAGAAGCATGCGGATGATGGAGCAGCTAAATCCAACCAAGGTATATCTGAGGAGGATTCAAGCATTGAAGACAAGACTGAGACTGATGTTGAGAACCTTAAAAAGACCATCTTTCTCACTATGATGTCAGGTATTGATTTTGAGGATGCTGGACACAAGCTCCTTGCCATTCCATTGCGCCAAAATCAGGAGATGGTAATCTGCAACATGCTGCTAGACTGCTGCTCACACCAGAAGACGTACAACAGATACTTCACACTGCTGGCACAGCAACTTTGCCTGCTCAAAGAGGTATATCGTGAGACTTTTGAGAGCTGCTTTCTCCTGCAGTACTCCATTGTTGACAGCCTCAAGACACACAAGTTGCACAATGTTGCCAAATTTTTTGCCCATCTGCTGTCCAGTGATTCTCTGGCATGGCATATATTGGCCTGCATTCGCCTCACAGGGGAGAATACTGCTGCTACTACTTCTTCATCATTAGGGATGTTCATCAAAATCTTATTCCAGGAGTTGGCGGAGGAGCTTGGTGTTCCCTTGCTCAAGAAGAGGCTGAATGATCCAACTCTACAGGGATCGCTTGATTCAATATTCCCCAAGAATAATAATAATAATACAAGAAACTTGCGTTTCTCAATCAACTTCTTCACCTCCATTGGGCTTGGAGGCCTAACAGACAACCTCAGAGAAAACTTGAGGAATATGCAAAAGCAAAATCATCAGGTGTCGTCTCATTCTGATCAGGGAACTCAGAGCTTTGGCACCGGTGGATCAAAACCATTCCAATAGACAGGGAAAACGAGGGAGGACTGGTTAAGATTAACTGAAACCCTTGTAAATAAATAGATGTGTTCAATGTTTAATCATTGCCCCGAAATTGCAAGTCACATAATCAACTGGTAAAGGGTAATCAGCTGATATAGCGCTCAAATAATTAGGTAAATAGCAATAATGTGGGACTGAAGTTGTCACATCGATGATGTCTAGAATGTAACTTTTTTTGGACTGCTTCCAATGCCCCTATTGAGTCAATCTGCGTGGAAATGAATGTTCGCTGTTTCTTTTTCTTGTTTTTGCTCCAAAGGTCTTTCCACGGAATTTGTAGCACAAGGAATTGACTTGTCTAGCGTGCTCTTAAATATGTGGTCATCCTTTGTGAAAAAGAAATTTTAGGGACTCGGTGTTCTGTGGGAGTTGAGCTGCAGAGATTCATTTTTGACCAATTGAGTTTTTTGAGTTAAAAATTGCCAATGACCAAGTTGAAAATTTGAGATAGTCTAAATCTAGAGGTATCAATTGAGAGTTTTTTGAGTTGGGCTTTAGCAAGGTTAATTGATGGGATGTGAGGGGGGAAAGCACTTGGGATCCTCGGTGACATGTTTTCTATGCCAATTCAATGCCACTAATAGTATTGTGCCAAGTGTCATGTTATTATTTACACTTTAATTTTTTAATAATTTAATTTGGCTTAGTTTAACACAAGTGTAAATAATAATATGACACTTGGTACAATACTATTGGTGGCATTGGATTGGCATAGAAAACATGTCACCGAGAATCTCAAGTGGGGGGAAAGGGAGGAATGAGGGAGGAGGGGTGGTGGTGGGTGGGTGGTGAAAAATTTTCAAATTTTTTATTAGTATCCTCGTATAATTTTAAATTTTAAAAATATTTCAAAATACATCTTGAAAAACACTTAATACACATTTAAATTTTAAATTATAAAAATATCCCAAAATACACATTTAAAAATATCCTCAAAAACACCTCTAAAAAAATATCTAATCATCTACAGTAAAAATTTTTCGCATACACAGTTACACTAATTTTTTTTTTTTAAAAAAAAATACCCTCTGAAACACTTAATTCATACAGAGAGGCCACAATAAAGCTTCTTTCTTCCCATTGTATTTGTACTTTTATGGGTCAAGTAATCGAGTTTTCGAAGCTCAATCTTGTCTCACTTCTTAACCTTTTTTTTTTTTTTTTTTTTTGGGCCAAGATCATCCTAATCATCGGATGCTCTTCATGACTTCCAATGAAATCAGTTCTCCTAAAATGTCACATCTTTACTATGTGTATAAAGTTTTGAAGGTGAAAAAAGTTAAAAATTAGACCGTTGTCCAATGAATAGTTGTTATTCAGTTGAAGAAATAAGACTGAATTCTTATTTTTTTTCCCTTAGATAAGGCTGAATTCTTTTGGTATAATATCAAAATCGAACTCATGTTAGTTGATTAAAGATGCTCAAAGTAACTGCAAACTTAAAAAGACATTACACATGGGAAGAAATATATTGAACTGGTGAAACTAAATGCTAATATATGACTTCAATTTGTAACCCAATTCATATTTCCATCCTGCAAACTCCACCAAAATGATCCCAAATAGACCCACATGGAATCCTCGATGTCACTTTTCCTGTGACAACTCATTGCTGCTTCTATATTTTATGCCAATTGTCCTGTTCATTTAATTTATCATGCGCTGTTTATCTAAATTTCTTCTATTCTATCCTCACATGATAAATGAGATTGACATCAAATTTGACATCGAATAGTAGCACAGATGATCCCAACTGATTGCGGTAGAGTTTAAGGCAATTGTCAAGGGCTTAATACCATATTATGGGATCAGTCTGGTCGCTGGTTGGTGAGACCTTATCTCATAGAGCTGTAAACGAATCGAATCGAACCGAGTATCTCATGTTTGAGCTCTGTTCGTTAAGCAGTTCGAACAACGTTCGTGTTCGTTCGTTAATTTTCGAACTCCAAACCTGTGTTCGTATTCGGTTCGTCAAGTAAAATTCGTGTTCGAGTTCGAGTTCGTGTTCGGCTAGTTTAACATAAACGAGCCGTTCGCGAACATGTTCGAAATGCTCGAATCCAAATTATTTTATGCTTTAAATATGCCGTGCAAATTATTAATCATTCTAAAAAATAATTAAAACACTAAGTGACTAAATTCTATTATTCATTAACTATATAACTAACATTAACATAAAAACAACAAATAAAACAAAGAAATTTGCCCTCCAAATATAAAAGTCCAGCCATAAATCAAATGATGATTATGTCTATATTCACGAACGTTCGTTAAAACTCGCGAACATACTCGTGTTCGCAAACGTTTCGTTTAGCATGCTCGCGAACGTTCGTTAAAACTCGCGAACATGCTCGTGTTCGCTCGATTATTAATCGAACAAAAAAATTCGTTCGAACTCGGTTCGTTTAAAATTTCGAACGAGCCTTTCACGAACACGAACGAGCTGAAACGAACCGAGCTAACGAACAACTCGGTTCGTTTAACAGCTCTACGTTATCTGCGACCATTTCTGTAGCTTTACTTTAAATAAAATTTGAGTCCACAACTGTTGCATCCAAAGCCGAAGGACAGAGGATGGCAAGAGCTAAGAATGGTACGAGGAGACACGTAATTGGCAGCCCTTTTCCATCCTGCGATCATCACCTAACAAAGGTGGCCATTGATTCCCCCAATCCGAATTTTTGGCATCACAACCATTTAACTGTACATAATAATGGTACCCACGCCACAACTTATAGCACTTGTTGCTGTGGGACATGGCAACTAGCAAGGTGCAAGGATATTATGCCTCTTAAAAGTACAATTGCTATTATAACATTATTAAAATTTGGTATGTGGCAATAACACCAGCCAGCAAAAATGAGCTAAGTAATAGTCACAGCCAAATTAAGCTCAGTGGCCATCAGGGATGGACTGTAGGTGAGGGTTCAGACCTCACCTGCAGAAAAAAAAAATTCTTAAAGATAGTGTCATAGCACTCTTTTGATCTAAAGCATCAGGTGGATTGTGGTGCGTGACAACTTCGAGTTAGCTGTCAATTAGATGTACTCCTGTTGGAATACACCACCAAGAGTCACGTAATTACGAATTAAAATTTGGGGTATGAGACAGTTACTGTTGGATTCAGGTGCAGTACGATTATTGTACTTTTTTTTTTTTTTCATGATTTGGTGTACAACTACAATCACATAACTTTGCTGTGTTTCTTGGCATACACTAAAAGTTACGTAAGTGTACACCAGATCATGAAATATAACAACCTTAAATGAATATATACCAAATCGATGATCGATTGCATCCAAAACCATTCCCCTAAGATTGAAAGTGTGTTCATTGCCTAGCTGGGAATGATTGTAGTCATCAGTTCGTTATCCTCCGTGTCGAATGAAACCTTCCATCAGCTACACGCCTTCAAAATCAAGAAACGTCCACATTGGAGTTCGTGTATTTTCAAATGCTAACTTGTCCTAAAAAATTTTGCTTGTAATACACTCGTTTGAGATGGAGTTAAATTTAAGATTTCGTGGACTATGAGAAGACGAGGCTGAAAGACAATAGAAAGACACTGAAATGAAGGAGAAACATTCGTCAAACCAGCACTATTTGGTGTCAAAGAAAAATTGGTCGCTTCTCTTCTAAGAGAGGCAGGTGACAGCAAGAGCCCACCATTGATAGCTAAATACAGAAGAAAACAGTCACAAAAGTTTTTTTGAGCGTTATAGCATACATCACTGCCCAAACTAACATTTTCTTGTTAATGAAATATCCACGTTCCTTGTCATTTTCATACAACTCAAAGTAGATATTTTGACTCTCTATACGTAGTATCATGTTAACTTAGCGACAAAGGCTGAAGCTGTATAACACACCACCAAATTAATCTCTTCTATTTCATTTCCTCAACAACCATCCACCTTTCTCTTCCCTGCTTGGCACCCCCATCACCTGGCATTCTGCTTGTGCATGCATTTCTGAGTTCTCCATAGCTTGGAGATATGAGGGATCGAATAGAAAGACTTGTTCTTCTTCCCTTCTCAATGGGTTGTGTTTCTGAATCCAGCATTGCAGTTGGACCACGGTTTCCTGATAGACCAAAGAACATTAATGCAAACTCAACTCCAACAAGTCTCTCTCTCCCTCTATCATAAAGCATGATGCACACACTGGAGCACCATGCCTGATGCACATAAGTTACATTTAGAAAGTGTTTTCAGCTATCACATTCGACAAAGGCTTACTCTCTTCTTTAATTTGGATTATGAAGGAACTCCAGAAGATGACAAGGAGGGAGAAGAGGAATCTGAAGATGACGAAGAGAGCTTGTCAGATGATAACTTGAAGAGCCCATCACGCCTCCTCGCAGCTCCCAAAATCCAAAAGCTGTTCAAGAATTTTAAGAATTTGTCTCAACTATTTGGTAAGTTTTCAGCAATATCTGGATATCAATGCCAAAGTCATGTCCGAATGTGATTAATGCTTAATATATATATATATATATATATATATATATATTAACAAACTAGCATTTTAAATGGCAATTATTGATGTCTGAGAAAAGGAAGTTTTTTCTGATAATATTTCCATAACTCCCTATCTGGTGCTTCAGCATACAAGGATGATGAAATAGAAGAAGAAGGCACGGGCATGGAAATTGGATTACCAACAGATGTCAAACACGTCACTCACATAGGAATAGATGGTTCTGCAACTTCTATTCTGTCAAAGGGCTGGGGTAATCCAAAATCACCTGGCTTGCCATCTGCTAATTGCCCACCATCTGCCTTTGCATTTGCCATGCCAGCACAGGCTGATAAAGCTAAAGTCAGTGGTCCATGAAAGGCAAATCAAGATGAATATGGTGCTGGCATTAGATATCAAAGGCCAATGAGGAAGCAAAAACAGGCCAAGATACATTTATGATCTACCAGACAGAACCATGAACTTGAAAAAATACCTGTTCCTTGTGTGAACTCTTCATTCTCAAAATTACTGCACTGAGATGATTTGTATGCCTAATATTGTGATTTTAGAAATCAAATGTACATTTGGCATATATGGATTGTTTGTGTACCAATAAGACTCTCTTAAATTTGGTGTAGACTCATTACTTCAGTGAAATTATACTGCTTATTCAGTACTCAAGAAAAGAAACAGTTACCTCCACTGATGTTAGGATGGATGATCAGCATTCTCAGGCCGCTAGGGTCAAAATGGCTCTTCTGTTATCCCCTTTTCAGATGTTATTTATCTGAAGCTTTGACTATCTATACTTCAAGTTGGTAACTAAGAAAAGAACACCCATTGGGGAATCAAGACTGCAAAATATTGAAGATTTGGCAGCCAAAAACATAGCTTGCATAGTTATAACGTTGCCCACAGTATTGCAAGGGATTTCTGGTGTTCAATACGTCTGAGTAATCCAAACAACATCAGCTATCAATCCAGTCCCAAAACAGGGAAAATGCAGTACCCAGTCCAAAAACAGGGATTTGCTTGAAACAGTACCCATATAACAATTAGCAGTGGTTTAAACGCTACGCTGGCGTCTTCTGCGTAATGCAGCTAAAAGTAGACGAAAAGCACATCCATCTATGAGAAAGCAATTTAACCTTTGAACTAGAAAACCAAAAATAAGAAGGTAATTTAGATGATGCTAGTACAAGTAGAAATGATTGGCCTTCAACAGCCCAGATGAGAAATAAATGGGACGACTTCCTTCTTTATTCTGTTCTAGTATAAGAAAGCATCAGATAAATAATAATGTCAATCAAGATGATTTTAGACTAGGCAGAAATAAATTTCCAAACATCATCAACAAAATTAGAACCCAAAGGCCTATTAGCCCTAACTACGTACTTTTCCGCCATCTCCTTGCCAAACTCCCTCAACCCCTTCTCCCCATTCTTCCTCCACAACTCCTCCCCAAAACTCCGGTGACCAAAATACCCCTCCACCGCCAGCACTTGTCCATCGCCAGACACTACATCCACCGGCAGCCTCTCGTAATGACCCGTTTCAATTCCTTCTAACTCATCCAGCCGGGCCAGCCCACGATCCGACACAGCATACAGTTCGCCCGGGATCCTGTGACCGGAACCCAGAAGATTAATCAGAAAAGGGATCCCGTAGGGTCCAATGACGAGCGGAAAAGACTCCTTCGTCGTGCATTCCCCGATAAAAGAAGCGTCGCCCGTGGAAATCAGGCTTTCCATGAGCCTGTGGTTGTAGAATCCACGCTTTAGCGTGCCATAAGTAAAGATGAGCCTGGTCCTGCTGATGGTGGTGGCGTTGTTGTTGTTGTTGTGAGGGCTTAGTAAATCTCGGTTTGCAGAATTGGAAGCCATTATTGCAGCTCTACAGGGAGAGTATAGCTGAGGAAGAGAATGAGTGAAGGTGCGAGGGTGAGAACTGATGATGGAGTCGAAATCGGCAGGGTGTAGAAAACAGTGCATGGGAGAAGAGATTGGGGAAGGATTAAACTAAACTTGTATTTACTCTCAAATTCAGCTAATTATTTATTTATTTTTGATAAAAATTAATGAATTCAACCCTCCCAAATCTTGGATGAGCTTTTATCAAGTACTATTATTGATTATTCCATTTGGATTTTTCTTTATAGAAAACTACGCCATAATGATGTTGTTGTGCCGGTGAGATTAAAAAAAATTGATTGAAAAATATATCAAGAAATATTTCAAAAACAATTTTTTTTTTTGCAGATACTTATAGTCCAACCACCCACCATTGCCCCGATTAATAGTTGTCATACTTAAATTAAACTCAACTTACTGTGTTAATATGTACAATCATATTTATTGCATTCTCGCAAGTACACATTATCTCGACAAAAATTCAGACACTCTCCCCACAAAAATTAATTTCTACCCAAAAAAAAAGAAAGATTAACACTCCTAGCTAAGGTGTTGTTGAATTGAAGTTTGAACTGAAGTCTAAACTTGATAATAAAAATAATGTGAAGTGTATTTAAAGATGTCAATGGGCGATAGTTAAGAAGGGATTTTTATTTTGCCAAAAAAAAGGGTTAAATCTGAAAATATTAATTAATATTTAGAAGGGACAATGAAATAAAGAGTAAATTATCTGGATAACCACTAAACTTTTGCAATCGTCGAGTTTTGGTTACTCAACTATTAAAAGCCCGGTTTTGGCCACTGAAATATCTAAAGTTAATACTCGAAACCATTTCGTTAGATTTAGTCGTTAAGTATACCAGATCTAATTGCCTGCACAATTCCCAAAGCATTACCGATTTGCTTAATTCAAAATCGAAATTTTCTATTTCAGTGTCAAATTCTGAATTACCGCTTCGCTCTCTGGTTGACGACAACCTTAACCTTTGCTTGATTATAGACGACCAGCCCATCAAATCCCCATATAAAAATACCGCAAAATTTGCTCAAAAGAAGGTGAAGTCCAAGGATATTCCCATTGATATGGTTGTCAAGCTATCCAAGTTGAAATTAGATTGTAAGACTCTGGAGGAAAGGCGAAAGCTGTATCAATCATTAGACATGTTTTTTTGCAGATAAAAGGGTCGTTTCGTTGTTTCCAAATGTTTTACGGAAGCATTTTTATAAGAAGGAGAGGAAAATTCTGGTGCCATTGGATTTGAGAAACAGGATAATTGGAAAGAGCAGATTGAAAGGGCAGTAAATTCGACATTTTTATGCCTTGGGAATTGTGCATGCACTTAGATCTGACATACTTAACGACTAGATCTAACGAAATGGTCTCGAGTTTTAACTTTAGACATTTTAGTGATCAAAATCAGACTTTTTATAATTCAATGACAAAAATTCGATGATTACAAAAGTTTAGTGCCGTCCGATAGTTTCTCGTTAAGGAGGCCAATTAGTTGTGCCAAAAAATAGATGGTACTTTATCTTATCCACAAATTCTTGTGAACAAAAATGCTGGACTGGCGTATTGGGCCGGACTAGAACTTAGTTTGGGCTGAGCAGGCACAATGGAGCTATTGGTCCAGTTTTGTGAGTTTCAAAAGTTTGTTCATTACCAACAAGCATAGCCCCAAGATTACTAGTTAAGGCTAGGTAAGCCCCATCAAATTATCCTTTTTTACTTTAACTCGTTAATTGCACCCATTGGTTGGAAGAGGGGAAAAAGAAAAGGAAGGAACCAAAATCCTATTAGATCTCGTTTGGATTGCTACCCTTTGAATTTTCTATGAAAAAAATATTCTCTCTATTCCATTGTTATTGTAATGTTTGCACTTTATTGATGTTCCAAAACAAAAGTCATTGTTTCAAATTTAAAAGATAATTTTCAATATCGACGTTTGAAAAAAATAAATTTTTAAAATCTCAATACGAGAATATTTTGAATTCAATAAATACATATGTAAATTTATAAATGTCAACTAATCTAAATATAATGATTACCACATCTTCATAAAATTTTTAAAAAAATTTGAATTCCTAAAAAATGACTCTAATATTGAGACGGAGGAATTATATTGTAATTATTTGATGTAAATATTTGAAAAAATATGATCACGAGAGAAAAAAAGTACTAAAAATTTTTCTATGAAAAAATTAGAGTTGTTGGCCATCAAAAGAGATTTAAAACTTTATTTGGGTGTAGTTCAAGTGATCAAATCCTTTGGATGGATTCTAAAAAGTTCAGACTTTCTTGAAAATTTTTGCTAGCGGGTGTGTAGACATTCATTTGAGTTGATGGTGGTTTAGTCCGTTCCGAGTCCTTAAATCTCTTTTGCATCCTCCCCTCTCGAGGCTCTTTTAAGTCCTCCTCCTTTTAGATCTCTTTTGCGTCCACCTCTTTCGAGGCTCTTTTAAGTCCTCCTCTTCTTATACAGAGTAGAAGTAGGTCTAGAATAGATTTTATCGTAAAAGGCGGAAAAAAAAAAAAAAGAAGTTTTGCGTGGATTGATTGACAAAGAAAGGCAAGTGGATTCGAAAAAGTGCGTGGTGGAAGGTTCGACCATGTAGGGGTAGGACCAAATCCAACGTGGAAAGTGAAGTCAATAACCGCCCCCAGAGTCACCCCTTGCATCAACCTGATTCCGTCGGGCGCAAGCATGCGTTGGGCCATGACTGAAGTGGAAAGTCACAGCCTCCTTCGTCCCTTTGACCACTTGTTTTTTTCCCTTTTTTTTTATTGAAAAACCTTTGACCACCTCTTGGATGCATGAACGGTGGCTTTATTCTTTACAAGCCAATAAAAATACATTTTATTATTGCAAAAGTTTATTTCTTCGTCTTCCAAATTTTCTAAAGTTTCTAGTCTAGTTTAAAATGGATGTTTTATTTCTTAGTTAAATTTTATTTTATTTTTTTTTTACATTTTATTATTGCAAAAGTTTACTATACTAGTAGACATCATGACAAGTACTAACACTAGTGTGTGCAGGCGGAGATGAGACTTCAGAAGAATTTTATTTGATGAATGAGAGCTTTTGTGTTATTCTTGCTCTTTCTTTGAACAACTTTGAATGTAAATGAAATGTGAAAAAACCATAAAAATTGACTTTTAATATCTTTCCCTAGTATACGATTACTACTCTATTTCTCTTCAAGTAAAATGTTTGAAAATCTAAAAGTTTAATATATATATATATATATATATATATATATCATACACACTCGAATTGTAATTTTTCATAAATACATTTTCGAATCATTTTTTATTTCACGTACATTAAGTCGGTACAGTATATTTTCTATAAAACTCTTAAAAATAGCTATTCAAACGGAAAATGAGTTTTGAAATTACATAATATCGAAATTTAGATGCAAAATGCCTCTTGATTTTTCAAGCAAAACAACCCTTAAAAGGATTGATCATTTTTTCTCTCCACTTGGTCAATAGTCAATATTCTACCAAAGTTATAATATAGGAAAAATCCAAAACGTGGTAAAAGAAACAAGACTACAACCAAAAATGCATTAAAAATGAAGAAGAAGAATTTTCGCCCAAAAAAAAAAAAATTAAAAAAGCCCATGACATAAGAAGTGAAAAAGGTGGGCAATTCCGCGGGCATCGTAACTCGTACCTTTCATTGGAATCGGTTTCTTCTTCTAGTATATTAGAGTTGTTCTTTCCAAACTCTTTCAAGATATTCCTCAAATCCATAACACCCATCTTCTAGATTCGTCATCAGAAGATCAGTAGATACTGAATTTTGTATCAATTCTTCCCAGTGGGCCAAAAAAAAAAAAAAAAAAAGAAGCAAAGGAGAGCTACGTCCACCCTAACAAATTGAGATGGGCGTGATTCTGGAAGAAGAGGAATCCGAATTCGACAACGACGTCGTCATGGTTCCACCCCCAAACTTTGCAACGGTGGAAGATAACAGCATTTATCGCTCTGGGTTTCCTCAGCCTTCCAATTTTCCCTTTCTGCAATCCCTCCAGCTCAAGTCCATACTGTAATTGTCGTTTCTTTTCTTTTTCTGCGTAATTTTTCGTTAATTCCTGTACTTTAATTGACGGGTTTGGTTTATTGTTAAATTTTATCTGTGGGCTTTCGAGGTTTCTTATTAACTGTTGAAATTTATGGGCAGGTGCTTGTGTACTGAGCCGTATCCAGAAGAGAATTTAGAGTTTCTCAAAGCCAACAACGTCAAGCTTTTTAAATTTGGAATTGATGGCACTAAGGTGCTCTATTTTGTTACCTCTTTTTCTGTTTCTAGATATATAATTTTTTGTTTGATTCTGTCATATCTTAACCACCATTTGCAATTTTAAGTGGAGGAACCTTATTCTTGCACTTGAAGAATATTTGACTGAATGTGTAGATTGTGTTCTTAATCAAGGACTCTTTAAGAATATTCACTTTTTTTTTTGGCCGCATAAAGGAGCAATCTTTAAGGGTTATGGTGCTGATTCTTTTTGGGGTTCTCTTTTATTTAGGATGCCTATGAATTGGTGATTAATCTGATGCTATTAATTCTAGTTCAATATCTGAAGGGCTAATGCTAATCATTACGGGTAATATATTGGGCAAGGATGGATTCTTCACACTGTATAATTGTTAAGACTATGTACGTGTAATTTTCTAAAGTTGAATATCTCCTAGGATTGTCCATATTATTAGGCATACCATGACTACTGTTGTTATTATGACTAGTGGAATTGTGTTGTATGTGGAGTGGCTTCGATGGAGCCGATACTGGACTTGATATAGTGAGGAATATTACCATTGGGGATCTTTTGAGTGGCTTTTCATTCTGCAATACATTCACGGGAAAGTTAATAGCTGCTTTCTTTTTTCCCCCTAAATAACAATAGTTGAGTATCGTGGTAACTTGTTAAATGAGTTTTATATGTTCTGAATTGATTTTTAATTATCAGCAGCCTATGTTGTAATGTCTGAGGGTACAGCTTAATACTTTCTGGTTTCTTCACTCCAAATGTTAAATTACATATTTCTTGTGCTTGCAGGAACCAACAGCCATTCCCAGGAGTACCATAACAGAGGCTTTGAAAGTTCT